TAAGAGTCTCTCCTTCTCTTTAATCTTGGGTAATGTAATTATGATGTGCCTTGGTGTATTCCTCCTTGGGTCCCACTTCTTTGGGACTCTCTGAGCTTCCTGGACTTCCTGGAAGTCTATTTCCTTTGCCAGACTGGGGAAGTCCCCCTTCATTATTTTTCCAAATAAGACTTCAATTTATTGCTCTTTCTTTTCTACTGGCACTCCTATGATTTGGATGTTGGAAAGTTTAATTATGTCTGGGATGTTCCTAAGCCTCTCCTCATTGTTTTGAATTCTTGTTTCTTCATTCTGTTTTGGTTGACTATTTACTTTTTCCTTCTGCTCCAAATCATTTATTTGAGTCCAGGTTTCCTTCCCTTCACTGTTGGTTCCCTGTACATTTTCTTTTATTTCACTTTGCATAGCCTTCACTTTTCCTCTGTTTTGCAACCATACTCAACCATTTTTGTGAGCATCCTGATTACCAGTGTTTTGAACTCTGCATCTGCTAGGTTGGCTATGTCTTCATTGTTTAGTTGTATTTTTTTCTGGATTTTTTATCTGTTCTTTCATTTGGACCATATTTCTTTGTCTTGGCACACCTACTACTTTGTAAGGAGTGGAGTCTTATGTATTCACCAGGGCAGGTAACCCACATTGCTGTGTTGTGGTGCTGTATGTGGGGTAGGGGTCAGACAGGGAACAATGCTGCATGCTTAACTCTCAGCCAGCTTTCAGTCACTTCCTCTGCTATCCACAAGCAATTTGGATCCTTCTGGTACTGACTCCTGGGTGTGTGGGTTTGTGTATGTTCTAGATCCCATGAATCTATTCAACAAACTGTCCTGTGAGGCTGGAAGTTTCTCCCACTGCTGCAGTTCCCATAGGTTTTTAAAGTCAGAGGTTTTGGGCTTTATTTCCCTGTGCTGGGGCCCTGGGTTACATGGTCTGTGTCACTCCCCTGTTGTTCTTCCCAGTTTATCTTCTTGTAAGTGTTTCATTCTTTTTGATGCAACTATAAATTGAATTGTTTCTTAATTTCTCTTTTTGATAGTTTGTTATTAGTGTATGAAATACAACTGATTTCTGAATAGTAATTTTGTATCCTGCAACTTTACTGGATTCATTTTTTAGTTCTAATAGTTTTTTTTTTGTGTGTGTGGAATCTTAAGGGCTCTATAGGTAGTATGTCATCTGAAAATAATGATTGTTTTATTTCTTCCTTTGTGATTTGGATGCATTTAATTTTTTTTCTTGTCTGACTGCTATGTGACAATTCTCATTTTCTTATAGCTATATAGTATTCCAATATGTGGATCTATCATGATTTATTTTACTAGGCTCCTACTGATGGACATTTAGGTTATTTTCAAACATTTGCTGTTATAAATTATACTGTAATGAATAGCTTATGCGTATATCTTTTCCTGTTTTTACTTGTATATTTTTGGGGTGCAGTCCTAGAAGTGGGATTGCTGGGTCAAAGTATAACATGCATGTATAATTTTAAAAATACGGCCCAATTCCCCTCCATAGGCTTTGAAATGTTTTGTATTTCTACTGACAATGTACTAGATTGCCTGATTCCCCACAGCTGGTCAACCATGCACATCTACAAACCTAGATGGTTATCAGTCTAAGTGACAAATACAACCTTGGTACAGTTTGAATTTGCATTCCTTTTTTTTTTTTTTTACAAAACTTACTGAGAACTTTTTCATATATTTAAGGGCTATTTGCATGTATCCTCTTGGTCCATATCTATTGGTCATTTTTTTCTATAGAGTGGTTGGTCTTCTACTTCTCTGCCTTTGAAGTTCTTTATGTACCATGAATACATAATAGGGGTAATAACCTTTTATTTGTCTTACAAATTGAAAACATTTTTTTCTGGTTTGTCATTTCTTTTTCAACTTTGCTCATGTTTTTAATTTGTTAAATAAATACTTTTATGTTGTTAATTAATCAGTCATTCCCTTATTGTTTCTGAATTTTGAGTCATCATTGGGAAATATTTCCTCACTCCTAGATTTTATAGGACTTGGCTCATGTTTTCTCTTAGTACTCATATGGTTTCATTTTTTTACATTTAACTCTCTGACTCATTTGGACTTTACCCAGCTCTACGGTGTGAGGAAAGAATACAATTTTATCATTCTCCATATGGTTCTGAAACCAGTTATTAAAAAATCCATCTTTCCCTTACTCACTTGACATGATGACTTTGTCATGGACTAAATTTCCACATGCACTTAGGTGAATTTGTGGATTTTCTATTCTGTTTCATTGGTCTGCCTGTCTATTCATGAGTATTGACCACACTTTATAAATTGTATAGACTTTGTAATGTATTTTAATATGTTGGTCAGACCACCTTTCCTTCCTTCCTTCCTTCCTTCCTTCCTTCCTTCCTTCCTTCCTTCCTTCCTTCCTTCCTTCCTTCTTTCCTTCCTTCCTTCCTTCCTTCTCTCTCTCTCTCTCTCTCTCTCTCTCTCTCTCTCTCTCTTCTTTCTTCCTCATCTGAACACATGCTTATTGATTTTAGAGAGAAGGGAAAGGAGGGAAATAGAGAGGCAGAGAAACATAGATGTGAGAAAGAAATATCAACTGCCTGCCTCCTGTACACACCCTGACTGGGGACCAAACTTGTAACCTAGGCATGTGCCCTGGCAGGGAATCAAACCCAAAACCTTTGAGATTATGGAACAATGCTCCAACCAACTGAGCAACACTGGCCAGGGCTGTTAATGGCATTTTTATTGGGATTGCATTAAATTTATAATGTTAACTTACAGAGGATTAATATTTTTGTGATATTGAGTCTTCCTATCCAAAAACACTGAGTATCTTTCCATTTATTTGAGTCTATTTTTCATTATTCAGGAATGCTTTATAATTTTCTTTATATGAATTTTGTGATATTTCTTACAGTTTATGACTAGGTATTTTGTTATATTTTGTATTTTGCTCTCCTAAATAGGTCTTCTCACATCACATCTTTTATCTGGTTTTTGTTTGTATAGATAAAGGCTATTAATTTTTCACTGTGCATATTATAAACTGCTACTCTACTAAATTCTCTTATTGTTAATAGCAGATTTTCTGTTAATTTGGGGGGGCTTCCAGGTGTATAAATACATCATCTTCTTAAACAGAGATCATTTGCTTCTTCCTTTTCACTTCTTGTTTCTTCTAGGTGCATTCTTTTATCTGGTTGCACCAATGGATACTTTCTGACCTTGCTAAATGGTAGTAGGGACACTGGGCTTGTCTCTTTCCCTCTCTTTACTGAGAGAGCCTCTAGTCCCATTCAGATACTGACTTTCTAGCTTAAGTCAATTTTAATTTTATTGAGCAGTTTTTAAAACCACAAATGGATACTAATATTTGTTCAAATATCTTTTCTGTACCTATGGGAATGATTACATGATTTTTCTTCTTAGATTTATTAATATGCTATTTATATTAGTTCTCTAAGTCATCTTTTCTGATACACACCCTTGTTAAGAATATTTGTTCCTCAGTGTTTCTCAATACTAAAAACATGTCTGGCTAATCTCTGAAACTGGAAAGATGCAGATCATGCCTCTTCTCTCCAAACCCCTCTGCAGAAAGCAGGATAGTACATGAACTAAGAGTCTAGTGGCTCTGGAATCAGGTTTCCTGATTTTGAGTCCAGCTCCAGCACAAGTGAAGCACACGGCCTTAGACAAGTTTCTTATCTCACTCTGCCTTGGTTTCCTCATCTGTAAAGTGGGGATAATGATAGTATCTATAGTGATAGTAGGGTGGTTGTGAGAATCAATGTGATATGCACCAAGTACTAAGAATAGTGCCTGGCCCAGTGTATTCTTTTTTTTTTTTTAGTTTATTTAATTTTGCATAGGTAATACATTAACATGGTTCAAAATTATACCAAAAAGTTATAAAATGTCCCTTTCATCCCTGTTTCAGTTGCCCATTTTTCTTGCCTTTAGCAACCAATGAGAACAGGATTTCATAGGTATTTTATATACAGGCTGGGGAAAATGTAGGTTTACAGTTGTGAGTACATGAAACAAAGTTTATTATTGTATTATTATTTATTAATTACTATATTATTTCCCATACAAACAACTGTTTTTGCCCCACCTTGTAAATGCACACACACATACTATGTTTTTCCTTATTTTTATAGAAATGTTAGCCCACTATGCAAAGTTTTCTGCATCTTGCTTTTTTAAAAGTAGGTAATTGTTCCTACATATTTCTGTTACTGTTTTCATTAGGATAGTATTAATCAATTTATCAAGTGTCTAGGGGAGGTTGGGCATTTTTATGATGTTGATGTTAAATCTTTCTATTCAGGAACAAGGTGTGGTCCACTGTATTCTTAACCCCATTAATATCTCACTCCTTCCCAACACTCATGTGCTAATGTATACACATGTGCACACACATGGATGCATGTACCCCCCCCCACACACACACAAGCCATACATCTCTTCTATCAGTCTACTAAACACAATAGCACCAGGTAAAGATCAGCAGAGGCAGTGAGGAAATCTAAGGTGCTGGGACATACCAAGGTCAAATATCCTTCCTGGTGTCTTGACCTCACTTGCTGGAGACAAGGCACTGATCTGCTTAAACTACTCTGAAGGCACTTTAGCTGGTGGGCTCTCACAGCAAGAGCCCAACCCCCAGAGGAGTTCTTAGAATGGGGCTTCTGTAGTGTGGGTTGGGGGATTGGTCGTGTGACCAGGGCATCTGCTCAGGGTGCTTCTTCCAAGGGGAGGCAATGGCCCGTGCAGTGTACAGAAGGTTTACTGAGCCCCTGCTTTTACTGGGGCTGTGTGAATGTCACTATTACTCCCTCACATCTTCCCACCCTCATCACCATTCATCTTAGGCCAAAAGACCTGGGTAACCTCCTGGGCTGCCAGCCAGCTGATGGTGGGACCCTGGTTCAGCCAAGGGAATACCAGGGGCCAGAATCTCTTTCCCTTCCAGGAGCCTTCAGCCCCACTGGTACATACTCTGAGCTGTTGAGAGCCAGTGCTGTCCAGTAAGCTTCCATGGGGGCCGTCACCACCGCATCAAACAGTACCTCCTGCACCAGCTCCTCATCACCTGGGTGCAAAATCAAAGGAGACCAATCCACTTATTTTCCCCATGATTATAAACACAGCTCATATGCTCTTTTGAGAAAACCTGAACTTCAAGGAACAAGATGTGCCTCATAAACATGTACCTAGAGTATGTGAAACCACCTACATGAATCTGAGGAAGGCATTTCACCTCTTCTAGCCTTCATTTCCTCAACTCCAAACAGCATGTGAGTAGAACAAAATGATTTCTAAGGTTCTTTCTAGTTCTAATATTCTGTGAAATTAGGAGAATCCCTCAGTGACATCAGACTTCATCTGTGCCCAGCTCACCCTCCATCTGAACTCTCATTGCTCTGCTCCTTGATACTTGGCCTCACACATGTTGGCCCTTTGCAGTTCTGTGAATTTGAACTTGACTCAGAGCTTCCACATGTGCTGTTCCCTTGGTTAGGATGCTCTTCTCTCCATTCTTTGCATGGGTGGCTCACTCTTTTCCCTCACTATCTTTAAAGTAGTCTAGGGGAGAGAAGACTACTAAAGTATTTATTTTTATTGAGGTGAAAATCGTGTAAATAAAATCAACCAATTTAAAGTATATAATTCAGTGACATTTCATACATTCACAATGATGCATAGCCTTCACTTCTTTCTAGTTCCACAACATCTTCACCACCACCAAAGGAGGTCCTGTACCCTTGAAGCCACTTGGGTGGTAAATGGCACTGGCTGAAAGAGGTGACCTTCCCTGACTATCCATTTAAAGCAGGGCCCATTTTTTCCTATTTAGCACAATCTGTAACAACCTATTCCTACACATGTGTGCTTGCTTCTTCATTGCATGGTTTCCCCATGAGATTAGATTACAAACTCTATGAGAGCAAAAGCCTTGCCTGGTTGGGTCATCTCTGTACTCCAGTGCCTGCCCCAGGCTTGGCAAAGAGGACATTCTCAGTGCACATTTGTTCATGGAATGAATGTTGGGACAGCATGGAAGGTGGAGCCTTCTCACAGTGCTGATACTTATGTGACAAAAAGACCTGCTTCTTCTCCCAAAGAGAGAGAAGAAGCACCATGATGAGGGTGTGGCCCCATAATTACACCAGTTGAATTAGTGGAGGGGAATTTAAGGTCAGTTTGAGAACCAGGTATTAGAAAACACTCATAGACTACAGGCTGTAAGAGGCTGTCTGGACAAACGCTCTCCTCTGCAGGGTTGAGGACTTCGAAGGTGAGCTGCCAGCCTGGGGGCCCACCACAAGGTGGTGATGGGGACAGATCGGATGGCCAGGGTGGTGCCCTTACACAGTGTGAGTGTCCCTTCAAGGTCTTATCAGTGCTCAGGTGAGAGAGGTTTACAGATATCCCAGTCCCTGACATGGGGATATGCCTGTGTGCTATAGTTCTAGGGACACTTAGTCACTAGCTTGGCCCCATGATGACACTGGTTCTGCTTTTGTCTTTGGAATTCTCTCTGTCCTCCTTAAGCCATCAGTGAGTTCCCAGGATAGAGCTATGTGGTAGCCCTCCCTTCCTGCAAAGTCCTTATCTACAGGGTCGCAGAGGGAAGCCCTCAGTGGGTGGGCAGCACGCACACTCCAGGTCTGGGTCCTCTCCTGTCAGAAAGCGGACCATGGCCTCCAGCTGGCTGAGCTTCCGGTGGTCTGGGTCAATATCCGTGATACAGTAGATCCTGGAACCCAGGGGAGTCAAAGTCACCTCACAAACCTCTGCCTCCCTCCCTCCCTCCCTCCCTCCCTCCCTCCCTCTCTCACTCCACCTCCTTTGTGCAGTGACAGAGGTTCCCACTTACCAGTCACTGGCCAGGGTCAGATCCGGGTGCAGAAGGTCGTGCAGGCCTGAAACCAGAACTCACTCTTAGTATGGCACTCACCTGGTGTGAGGATTGCACCTGAATTCTTTACAAACAAATGCAAGGAATCTTCTTCAGCTCAGAGTAGGCACTTACCCTGCAGGATGGGGCTGGGTTTGCACAGACCACACCTTTGTCCATGTTGCTTTCACTTCCTGAAATGCCCTTTCTCCCCATTGCCTCATGGTCATCCTGCCTGTTAGGTCTGCCTCCAAACCAGTGATTTTGGCTTCATGACTGAGCTAAATGGCCAGTCAAAAGATGATCCCAGAAAGGGGCCAGGCCTGTTTTGTGTAATTTCTATAGCCTCATGCCAAGCACAGCATCGACATGGACCATGGGCTCAGTACATTGTCTGAGTGAATGAATAAAAAAAAACAAAACCCTCTGAGCACCTTCAGTGTTTAAAATAAATAGGTGCTCAAATTAAGGTTTGCTAAATTGAAGGAAAGGATGATGGACATGCCAAGGTGGCAAAAAAAAAAAAATCTGGACTGGCACAGACACAGGCAGGCAGTGAAAGGGTGACACTCCTTTCCCTGCAGTAGTAAGCCCCATAAGCCCAGTTGAGCCTCTGATTTCAAGTCACTGGGCCACTGGCTGGTCTCTCCCATGAAGTGGGTGAGGAGTAGCACCTTCTGTCCCCTGCAGTGATGAAGGTGGGGATATCTGGGTAGAGGAAGAAAAGCAGAGGAAGACATCATGGAGACACAGGAAATTTGTTTTGGGACCAGTGGAAAGCGGAAGCAGAGTGTTCCAATGTCACGGACCTGTTCTGCAAAAGAGTGAAAGCAGAGGACGTGGGAGCACAGAGCTGGGCATGTAACTGGCCTGGGTGGGGGGAGGGGTCTGCCTGGGACAGCTCCTGGAAGAGTGGTGTGTTCACTGGGGCCTGAGGAATGGGATAAGAGTGTGAGAGCTGGAGAGGATAGCATTTTGGGGGAGAGCACAGTGTATGGGAAGACCCTTAAGCTTAGTATGTGGAGCATTGAAAAAAGCAGGTTATTGAAGGTCCTGTAGTGGCAACACAACCCAGTTTGGCAGTTTTAGAAACTTCCCTGTGGCAGAAAGAAGTTCAAAGAAAGGAAGAGGCAAGGAGACCAGCTGAAGGCTGCTGTGGTTTTCTAGGAGAGGTGACATGATGAGGGCAGTGGCAGAGAGGATAGATGAGATACACTGAAGGGATAGTGAAGGGAGAATGGACAGAATGTGGGCTTTGAATAGATTTGTGACCACATCTCCCAAAGACTTCCTAAGATATCTGGAGCCCTAGATACAGGTTTTGCTCTCTCAAGGTGCTCAGGTCTGAGCAGGCAGTATCAGGGAGGATGAGGTCCTTCTCTGCCATCCTCTCAGGTTCACTTCCCGTAAGTTCCCTGTTATGGGTTGGATGTATCCCTGAAAATGATATGTTGAGGTCTTAACCCCCAGTACCTGTGAATGTGACCTGATATGGAAATAGGGTCTCAGCAGATATAATCAAGTTAAGATGAGGTCATCAGTGGTCCCTAATCCAAGATGCCTGGTGTCCTTATGAAAAGGGAAAAGACACACACAAGAGGTGAAGCCATGTGATGATGGAAGGCAGATTGAAGAGCTACCATGTAAGCCAAGGAATGCCTGGCTTGAACAGGGCTAGGAGAGCCATTGGAGGGTACATGGCCTCCAAAGCTGTGAGAGAATGAGGTTCTACTGTTTAGGACACCCAGTGTGTGGTGCTTTGTTACAGCAGCTTGAGCAGACTGCTACAGATTTGCTTTCTCACTCTTCCCAGCCTCCTTTCTCATGTCTTCTCACAGGTAAAATCCAACTTTATTCAGAAAAACACACCCCCTTGAGACCCACCTCTCTGGTCCAACAAAAACTCCTGACAATGCAAGGCTGGTGAGTCTTAGACTCTGTCAGTTTGCACAGCTGACTGGCAGATCCCACACACCCAGGATGCCCGAGACACACAGACCCCTCCCTGTATGGCAGCCTGGCTCTGAGAGCCTGCTCTCAAGCCAGAGACCTTGGAGGCTGTCAAATAAGATCTGGGCTGGGTTGGCTCTGCTCAGTATCCCAGAAGCATCCATTTTTTCCTCTAGTGTCCATCTTACTGGACATTGACCTACCTTCTTCCACAGATGTGTTCCCCAGCAGGATGTATTCTCCGTGGCCCTGGGACAGCACCACTCCCAAACTGTGGGGAAAGCACAAAACCCATGTTCTCATCAAACAGCAAGTGCAAGTCAGCATCCCAGTCCATGTCCTGTCCTTCACTAACTCTTCCTTCACTAACTCTAAGACCAGGAGCTCTCCATACCCATGACAAGTGGCATACATGCCAAACTCCCTTTGCCCCTGGCCTCACAAGTTGTCCCATTTTTATTTATTTCTTTTGAGAGAGAGAGAGAGAGAGAAGAGAGAGAGAGAGAGAAACATAGATTTGTTGTTTCACTTATTTATGTATTCATGGGTTGATTCTTGTATATGTCCTGACCAGGGAAAAGCCCACAACCTTGCAGTATTGTGATGATGCTCTACCCAACTGAGCTACCTGGCCAGGGCCCCTCAGCTCTCATTTTAATCAAGATACATCCCGAACCTCTCAGGAACCCTCTGAAATGTAGAAATATCTCTAGGTCTCACAGGGCCCCACAAATAGGAAAATGTTTCCCCCCTGGTGAATCCTATGTGCCTTCCTCTCTCATGGTAGAACATTGCTTTTGAACCTTGGCCAAATGTTTGAACCACTCAAGGAGTTTTAAAAGGTATAGTGCCTGGACCCCATAAAAGAAACTCTTTTTAAAAAAATTTTAAAATATATTTTATTAATATATTACAGTTGTCCCATTACTCCCCCCATTCCCCTCCACCCTGCACACTCTCTCCCACCCACATTCCCCCCTTTAGTTCATGTCCATGGGTCATAAGTTCTTTAGCTTCTACATTTCCCATACTATTCTTGCCCTCCCTTCGTCTATTTTCTCCCTACCATCTATGCTATTCTTTGTACCTTTTCCCCCCTCTCCTCCTCCCACTCCCCTGTTGCTAACCCTCCATGTGTTCTCCATTTCTGTGGTTCTGTTCCTTTTCTAGTTGTTTGCTTAGTTTTTTTTTTGTTTTTGTTTTAGGTGTGGTTGTTAGTAATTGTGAGTTTGCTGTCATTTTACTATACATGTTTTTTATCTTCTTTTTCTTAGATAAGTCCCTTTAACATTTCATAAAATAAGGGCTTGGTGATGATGATAAACTCCTTTAACTTGACCTTATCTGGGAAGCACTTTATCTGCCCTTCCATTCTAAATGAAAGCTTTGCTGGATAGAGCAATCTGGGATGTAGGTCCTTGCCTTTCATGACTTGGAATACTTTCCAGCCCCTTCTTGCCTGTAAGGTCTCTTTTGAGAAATCAACTGACAGTCTGATGGGAATTCCTTTGTAGGTTACTGTCTCCTTATCTCTTGCTGCTTTTAGGATTCTCTTCTTCATTTTTACCTTGGCTAATGCAATTATGATGTGCCTTGGCATGTTCCTCCTTGGGTCCCACTTCTTTGGGACTCTCTGAGCTTCCTGGACTTCCTGGAAGTCTATTTCCTTTGCCAGAATGGGGAAGTTCTCCTTTATTATTTGTTCAGATAACTTTTCCACTTGTTGCTCTTCCTCTTCTCCTTCTGGTACCCCTATAATTCAGATGTTGGATCATTTAAAGATGTCCTGGAGGTTCCTAAGCCTCTTCTCATTTTTTTTTGTATTCTTATTTTTCCATTCTTTTCTGATTGTATGTTTTTTTCTTCCTTCTGGTCCACTTCATTGATGTGAGACCCAGCTTTCATTCCATCACTATTGGTTCCCTGTGCATTTTCTTCATTTCACTTACTGTAACCTTCATTTTTTCATCTAATTTGTGAGCAAAATCAACCAATTCTGTGAGCATCCTTATTGCCAGTGCTTTGAACTGTGCATCTGATAGGTTGGCTATCTCTCGGTCACTTAAAAGTACTGGTTGCGGAGCTTTCAATTCTGTTTGAGCTGTCTTTTTTTTTTTTTCTCCTTTGGTCTGGTTGCGTCTGTTAAGTATGAGGGGCAGAGCCTTAGGTGTTCACCAGGGCAGGGCACCCCAGTCACTGGGTTGTGATGTTGTATATGGGAGCGGGGTCTGGGAGGGAACATTGGCGCTTGCTCCACTATCCATTGGACCTCAGTCCTTTCCACCACTTCCCTTGAGCAAACTGGTCCCCTCTTGTGCCAATTCCCATGTGGGTGGGCTTGTGCACCCCATGGGACTTTCTAATGACCTCTCCTGTGAGGCTAGGAGTCTCTCCCTACACCTCAACCCCCACAGGTGTTTTCAATCAGTGCCCTGAGGCTCTATTTCCCAGCACTAGGATCCTGAGTTGTGCATGATGTCTTGCTTTACAATTGCCGCCTTGCTTTACAATTGCCGCCTTGCTGGGTCTGCTGGTTGCCACCCCTTGGCTGGGGTCTGCCAGCTGCTGCTTGTGCACTCAGAGTCCACCTGCTGTGGTCTTGCACACCCTGGATGCCTTATGCGCCCGGTCCCAATGCTCTCTGCTCTCTCGTGGCACCCAGAGCCCAGCTGCCCAACTCCGCCCCTCCTACCAGTCTGGATGATTGTGTCTATTTTAACTCCTTGGTTGTCCGACTTCCATACAGTTCAATTTTCTGTCAGTTCTGGTTGCTATTCTGTTTCTACATTATTGTTGTCCCTATCTTGGTTGTATGAGGAGGCACAGTGTGTCTGCCTATGCCTCCATCTTGGCCAGAAGTCAATAAAAGAAATTCTGAGTAAATTGATTTGGATGGATCTGGACATTGGCAATTTTATAAAATTCCTTAGTTATTCTAATGAGCAGTCAGGGCTGGCAATGATGCTTTATTGAGAAATGAGATAGTTCAGAGACAAGGGATATTTGTTTTCTAATATGTATATTGCCTGGAGTTAAATATTTATACAGTTGGAGGGAACTGAGGAGATCATCAGATATAATCTTTCCCCTAACAACTGCTTACAATTGCATGCATTAAGATCTTTGATTATGTCATTCAATCCTCATAATACTGCCAAAAAGTAGCTACTATTAATACCCTCATTTTACAGACGAGGAATCTAAGGCACAGGGAGGTTAAGTAACTTGACAAAGGTCACACAACCCTAAAGTGGTGAAGCTGGGATTTAAACCCAGGCACTCTGGTTCTAGACTACCAAACTCTGCACACTAGGCTACACTGGCAATGCAGGTCTAGACCTCTCAAGTTTCCTGAATGCAGAGCTGGGTCTTTTTCTGTTACTACAAAATTGCTACTAACTTTGAGTAAATCTATCCACAGACCTGAAAGTTCTACCTTGTGTTGTTGGTATTCCTGTTCCACCCATCCTTCCACTCTACAAGTAAAACATGTGTCCCTCACCTGAAAGGTGTATCACTGATGTCTGTGAAGAAGTAGTCATTGGTCAGGAAAAGAACTCTCTTCTGAAAGAGAAAAGAAAGGACGTTTGCTGGAAAGAAGAATGCCTGATCATGCCCTCCACCTCCTTACCTAACACCCTTGGGGTTTCATCAGCTCTGTGTCACCCCCTTCACTTCTCTCTTCCCTGACTGGCCCCAGCATGCCTCATTGTGTGGGCACCACAGGCAGAGTCACTGCAGGTCCAGCAAACCACTGCCCTTGGGGTGGCCTGACTGGAGGACTGAAGGCTAGACCTGTGCTGTCTCATGAAGGGTCCACCAGGCACATATGGTTACAGAACCTGGATATGTGCAAGTGAGGAAATTTTCAAACTTTATTTAAGAGACATTTAAATTGAGATAGCCAATATGGCTAGTGACTCCTGTATTGGACGTGACTCTAGGCTGCATATGGGAGCAGAGTTGAATATTTATAGTTGGAGGGAACCTAGGTAGTGCTAAAAGCTTTAGGAGCTCATATGTGTCCAGCCCACCTACAACCCTCCCCTCTCTTGACTATAGCTGAGAGGGAGTGGGGTCACCATCTGTGCCCTAAACCCCTCCCAGGGCCTAGCCCCCTTTACAACTCCTTTTTCCTTTCAATGCTGCCAACTTTCAGGTTTCAGTTGAATTTTCATAAATTAGAGCATCAGGTAAGTATATACAGTGGCTGAGGGCATGCACTGGGCATCAGACAGATCTAGAGTTAAGCTGTGTGCTCTGGAGTAAGTCATTCACTTTTCTAAGCATCAGCAATCTCATTTGTAAATTGGGGTTACAATAGCATCTCTTGCACATGGTTGCTGTGAGGCTGTGAGTGTGTTTTAAACAGATGGGAGTGGGTCCAGGGAACAGCAGGATTTGCTCTGGGCTCTGAAGTTTTATGGATTGTCTGGTCCACATGTGTCTTTGGAAAGCCACATGCTACAGTTGGCTCAGGAGCTGTTCTTATTCCCTTCACTTCTTTCTGGCTTTTCTTTCACTTTGGAATTTGGAGTAAGATATTGGAAAGGGACATGGGGGAGAGGGATGGAAGAAAAGGTTAGTTTCTATAGGGAACTGGCTTTAGCCCACAGCCAAATGAACAGTTCTGGTGATGCTCCCCTGCTCTTTCTGCTTCAGTCAGACACTCTCTCCAGTTTACCTCCCTCACAGTGGTCATGGGTCAGCCAGCAGCCAGCAAGGGCGGAGACAGGCTTGGGAGCTCTGGGCTCCAAGGTGGGCTGGCTTGAGTGTTGGGACTGGAGATCATCTTTTAAACTTTTCCTTCTTATTTAAAAAAAAAATGGAATAAAATGGCAAAATGCACAGAGATTAAGTGTATCATTCCATTTGTTTTGATAAATATATACAGTCATGTAATTACTTCCCCAGTCAAGATTGGAATGTTTGTATTCTCTAAAATTTCCTTCCAATCAGTCCCCATCCCATCCCTCCATGGGTAAATTCTGTTCTAAATTCTATCACCATAGATTTGTTTTGCCCATTCTTATAATGTGCACTCTTTTGTGTGTGGCTTCTTTTGCTCAACATAATATTTCTAAGATCCATCTATGCTATTGAGTACATCAGTAGTATATTTCTTTCGCTGCTGAGCAGTACTCCAAGGTGTGGATACACTTGTTGGCTTTACATTCACCTATTCATGGGCCTCTGGGATATTTCCAGTTTGGAGCTATAATAAATAAAGCTGCTATAAACATTCTTGAACAAGTCTTCTTGTGGACATCTGTTTTCATTTTTCTTTATAAATACCTAGAATGAAATTGATGGGTCATATGCTAAATGTGTGTTTGCTTTTATTAAAAAACTGCAAAACCATTTTTCTGTTTTTTTTTTATACAATACTTGCACTAGCAATGCACAAGTTCCAATTTCTCAACATCTTTGTCAGAATTTGGTGTTATCAGTCTTTTATTTTTAATTTGTTCTATTTTTCTTTTAAAATTATATTTTATTGATTATTCTATTACAGCATAATCACTAAGTTGTTCTGATTTTTCCCCTTTTGCCTCCCTCCACTCAGCACCCCCCACTCCCCCCACCATTGTTCATGTAGATGGGTCATGTGCATAAGTTATTGGGCTACTCCATTTCCTATACTATACTTTCCATCTCCATGGCTACTCTGTAACTACCTGTTTGTACCTCTTAATTCCCTTACCTCTTCACCTATCCACCATACCCCCTTCCTATCTAGCAACCATCAAAACCTTTCCATATCCATGATTCTGTCTCTGTTCTTCTTGTTTGCTTAGTTTGTTTTTCAGATTCAATTGTTGATATATAATTTTTTTGCCATTTTTTGTTCATAGTTGTTTACTTTTTATTTTTTTAATTGTTGTTCAAGTACACTTGTCTCCATTTCCCCTCCACCACTACCCATTCCCCCAATCCCAGCCATCCCCACCTCTCACCTTCAATCCTACCCCCCTTTGGCTTTGTTCATGTGTCCTTTATACATGTTTCTGACAACCCTTCTCCCTTTTCTCCATTATCCCCTCCCACCCATTGTTCATAGTTTTAATCTTCTTTTTCTTAAATAAGTTCTTTAATATTTCATATAATGATGGTTTGATGATGATGAACTCCTTTAGCTTTTTCTTGTCTGGAAAGCTCTTTATCTTCCCTTCAACTCTAAATGATAGCTTTGCTGGGTAGAGCAATCTTGGCTGTAGGTCCCCACTTTTCATGACCTTGAATATTTCTTGCCAAACCCTTCTAACCTGCAAAGTTTCTTTTGAGAAATCAGCTGACAGTCTTATGGAAACTCCCCTGTAGTTAACTAACTACTTTTCTCTTGCTTTTCTTAAAATTCTCTCTTTATCTTTCATCATTGGCATTTTAATTACGATATGTCTTGGAGTGGGCCTCTTTGCATCCATCTTGTTTGGGAGTCTCTGTGCTTCCTGAACTTGCATGTCTATTTCCTTCACCAAATTAGGGAAGTTTCCTTTCATTATTTTTTCAAATAGATTTCCAGTTTTTTGCTCTTTCTCTTCTCCTTCTGGCATCTCTATGATGTGAATGTTGGACCTCTTGAAGTTGTCCCACAGGCTGCTTATACTATCCTTATTTTTTTGGACTTTTTTCTTCTTCTTGTTCTGATTGGTTGTTTTTTGCTTCCTTATGTTCCAAATATTGATTTTATTCTTGGCTTCATCCACTCCTCTGTTGATTCCCTGTAAATTGTTCTTTATTTCAATTAGTGTATCCTTTGTTTCTGACTGGATCTTTTTTATGCTGTTGAGATTCTCAGTAATTCCTTGAGTATCCTTATAACCAATGTTTTGCACTCTGCATCTGATAGATTGCTTATCTCCATTACATTTAGCTCTTTTTCTGGAGTTTGATCTGTTTTCTCATTTGGGCCATGCTTCTTTGTCTCCTAGTCTTGACAGCCTCCCTATGTTTGTTTCTATATATTAGATAGAGCTGCTTTGACTCTGTGTCTTGATGGTGTGACTTAATGTAGTAGGTGTCCTATAGAGTCACAGTGTCATAGCCTCCCCTATTACCCAAGCTGAGTACTGGAGGTGTGCTGTTTATGTGGGCTGAGGTCACCCTCCTCTTGTAGTTGAGACTTGGTTGCTGCCAGCAGATCAATGGGAAGAATTTACCCAGTCCAATAAGCTGCAAGTATTGGCTGTGACCACTTACCACCAACTTCTGCCTTCCATGGAGGATCAGCTGTGCAGGGGCAGTGTGTTGGTGCTCTGACATGGTCTGTAGCTGTCTACTGGATATTCAGGCTCTGAGGTTTCCCAGGTGGCTCAGGCCAAGCTGGGCTCCTACCTGTGTTTTGTCTGGGGCCACCTTGCATGAACTAAAGAGCAATCTGAGAGGTCTGCCTCTTGTGCTGGGATTGGAGATTCTCAGGAAAAACCAAGCTGTGAATCTAGGTATCTGGTGCTAGTGGTGGGCCTGGGACTCACTGAGGCCAGCTGTTGCTTGTTTGAGAGGATTTAGGAAGTTGTGAAGCAGGAGCCAAGACCAGCCATTCAATGAAAAAACAGCTTGGATGGGTCAGTAAGTTGGTTAGGGTGGAACCTTTGGGGGTCTTCAAGGCAGATTAAATAGTACTAGCAAGGTTTATGGAGTCTCAGATATGGCACCAGTCTGCTGGCTCAGCTGGATGGATGTGGTTTCTTTAATTCTGTAGCTGTCAGATTTCCATTCATCTTTGTTTCTGATGATCCTGAGTAATGGTTTTTCTATATTTTAGTTGTAATTTTGTTGTGGTTGTGGGAAGAGGTGAGCCACGTCTGCCTATGCCACCATCTTGACCAGAAGTCCTTATTAGTCTTTTAAATTTAAGCTCTTGTAGAGTATGAAATGGAAACTCATTGAAGTTTTAGTTTGCGTATCTCTGATGACTGATCATGAGCACCTTTTCATGTGCTTTTGGTGCATGTGTACTTGTGAAGTGTTTGTGCAAATATTTGGACCATTTTTTATTGGGTTGTTAGTTTTTTGTTAATCATTTGTAGGAGTACTTTAAATATTCTGGATACAGTCTGTGCTTTCTTTGTTTTCTTACTGGTACCTTTTGATGGACTTTTGCTTTTGAGAAAGTCCAATTTATCAAATTTTATTTTGTGTTTAGTGCTGTATCTATGAAATCTTTGCATAACCTCAGGTTGTAAAGATTTTCTCCTATGTTTCTTTTGTAGAAGCCTTATTGTTTTTGCTTTGACATTGAGGGCTATTATACATCTCAAATAATTTTTGTGTATGGTGCGAATGGCTCAGTGTATTTTTTCATACATTTACACAGTTGTTCTAACACCATTTGTTCAAAGGACTTTCCTTTCTCCATTGATTTGCCAAGGTGTCTATTGAAAAAAACAACTGACAATAAGTAAGTTCCTATCTGGATTCTTGATCCTTTTTCTATTCCTATGACAATACCATTCTGTTTGGTTACTGAAGCTTTATGATTAGTTTTAAAATCAGGTAGTGTGAATCATTTAAATTTGTTCTTCTTTTTTCAAGGTAGTTTTGGCTATTTTAGATTATTTTAA